TGAGATCATGACCTGAGCCCAAGTCAGATGCTTAAACTACTGAGCTACCTAGGTGCCCCTAAAAAAAATTTTTTTTTAATGTTAACTTCCAAACTGTGGGCCTGGAGGTTACTCACTTATTTTTCAGGGAGCCCTACAACTTGAATTCCTCCCAAATTAGTATCACTTAAATGTATTGATTACTTAAAATTCTGAGAATCATATGTAATGAACTGGCAAAAACGTTTCAGTTAATTCTCAGTTTTGACCACTATTTCTCTGTTTTCTAGCTTTTTGAGATCTGGTTTCTTTTCTTTAACTCAGCGTAATGCTCCTGAGACTCACGCAAGTTGTTCTGCAGAAATAAACTGTTGATTCACTTTTACTGTTGAGTAATACTCTATGGTATGAATGTACCATAGTTTAACTGTTTACTTGATGAAAGATATTTAGGTTGTTTCCAGTTTTGGGCTATTACAAATAAAGCTGCTATGAACATTCATGTTCAGGTTTTTGTGTAACATAAGCTTTCATTTCTGTGGGAGAAATGTCCAAGAGTACAATTGTTGGCTCATATGGTAATTTGTATCCTTAGTCTTTAAAGAAACTACCTAACTATGTTGCCAGAATAGTTGTACCATTTGACATTCCAACCAACAACGAATGTTCCAGTTGCTCCACAACCTTGACAGCATTTGATGTTACTAATATTTTTTATTTTAGCCATCATGACTAAAATGTTATCTCATTGTGATTTGCATTTCCCTAATGATGACTGATGTTGAACGTCTTTTCATGAGATAAGGTGCCATCTGGATACCCTCTCTATTGTAACAGCTGCTCATTCATTTGTCTATTTTCTAATCAAATTGTTTTTTCTTTTTACTCTCGAGTTTTGAGACCTCTTTATATATTCCAGATACAAGTCCTTTGTTGGGTATGTGGTTTGTACATATTTTCTCTCAGTCTATATTTGTCTTTTTATCCTCATTACAAGGAATTTTACAGAGCAAAAGTTTTTAATTTTGAGGAGGACCAATTCACCAATTTTTCTTTTTATAAGTCATGCTTTTAGTGTCAAGTCTAAGAACACTTTGCCTAGGTCCTAAAGATTTTCTCCTATGTTTTTCTCAAATACTTTTTTAAGGGGCACCTGGGTGGTTCAGTTGGTTAAGTGTCCAGCTTCAGCTCAGGACATGATCTCATGGTGTATGATATTGAGCCCTGCATCTGACTCTCTGCTGTCAGTGCAGAACTGGCTCCAGATCCTCTGGCCCCGACCCCCACCCCTCAGCCCCTTCCTGGCTCTCGTCTGCTTTCTCCCCCTCTCTCAAAAAATAAACATTAAAAAAATTTTTTTAAGATTTTTTTTGAGTTCTTAAAAAAATTTATGCATTTTGAGAGGAAGAGTGAGTGGGGAAGGGGCAGAGAGAAAGGAAGAGAGAGAGAATCTCAAGCAGGCTCCACACTGTCAGTGCAAAGCCCGATGTGGGTCTTGAACTCATGAACTAGGAGATCATGACCTAAGCTGAAATCAAGAGTCATTGGATGCTTAATCAACTGAGCCACCTAGGTGCCCCAAGATTCTTTTCTTTTTTGAAGAATAATTGGCATACAATATTGTATTAATTTCAGGTGTACAACATACTGATTTGATATTTATATACATTTTAAAATGGTTACAATAAGGCTAGTTACCATCTGTCACCATACAAAGTTGTTATATTATTGGCTAAATTCCCTATGCTGTACATTACATCCCTGTGTCTTATTTATTTTATAACTGGAAGACTGAATCTCTTTTTTTTTTTTTTTCTGGATTATGCATTGGAAGACTGAATCTCTTAATCCCCTTCACCTATTTCACTCATCTCCTCCCACCCCTCCCCCTGGCAACCATCAGTTTGTTCTCTGTATTTATGAGTCTCTTTCTGTTTTATTTGTTTTGTTTTTTAGATTACACATATTAGTGAAATCATATATATTTGTTTTTCTCTGTCTAGCTTACTTCATTTAGCATAATACATTCTAGGTCCACCCAGGTTGTCAAAAATGGCAAGATTTCATTCTTTTTTTTTTATAACTGAGTCATATTCTGTTGTGTATACAATTATATATATACACACTACATCTTATTTATCCATTCATCTACCTATGGACATTTAGGTGGATTCCATACTTTGGCTATTGTAAATAATGCTGATATGAATATAGGGTACATATGTCTTTGAGTTAGGGTTTTTGTTTTCTTTAAATAAAAACCTGGAAGTAGAGTTGCTGGATCATATGGTGGTTGTTTGTTTGTGTGTTTGTTTGTTTGTTTGTTTTTTCAGGGAGAGCATGAGCAGGAGAGAGGGGCGGAGGGAGAGAGAGATAGAATCTTAAGCAGGTTTCACACTCAGCATGGAGCCTAATGCGGGGCTTGATCCCACAACCCTGGAATCTTGACCTGATCTGAAATTCAGATTTGGATGCTCAACCAACTGAGCCACCCAGGTGCCCCAGTAGTTCTATTTTTAATTTTAGGGGGAATCTCTGTACTCTTTTCCACAGAGGGTGCACCAATTTACATCCCACCAACAAAGCACAAGATTCCCCTTTTCTCCCCATCCTTGCCAACATTTGTTATCTTTTCAATAATAGCCATTTTGACAACTGTGAGATGATAGCTCATCGTGGTTTTGATTTGCATTTCTGTGATGATTAGTGATGTTGAACATCGTTTCATGTGCCTGTTAGCCATCTATATGTCTTCTTTGGGAAAATATGTATTCAGGTCCTCTGCTCATTTTTAAATCATATTGCTTTTTTTATATTCAGTTGTATGAATTTTTTATAGATTGTTGATTTTAAACCTTTATTGGATATATCATTTATGGATATCTTCTTCCATTCTATAAGTTACTTTTTCATTTTGTTGATGGTTTCCTTTGTGTGCAAAAGCTTTTTAGTTTTATTTGTAAATAAATATTTAGTCCAATTTGTATATTTTTGCTTTTGTTGTCTGAGCCTAAGGTGTCAGATCCAAAAAAAATATTGCTAAGACTGATGTCAAAGAGCTAACTGTCTATGTTTTCTTCCAGAAGTTTTATGATTGCATGTCTTACATTTAAGTCTTTACTCCATTTTGAGTTTTTTTGGTGTGTGTAAAGAAGTGGTCCAGTTTCATTCTTTTGCATGTTGCTGTCCAGTTTCCCCAACACCGTTTACTGAAGAGACTATTTTTTCTCCATTGTACATTTTTGTCTCCTTTGTTGTAGATTAATTGACCATGTAAGAGTGAGTTTATATCTGGGCTCTCTGTTCTGATCTTTTGATCTATGTGTTTGTTTTTGTACCAGTACCATAGTATTTTGATTACTAAAATTGAAATTTGTGATTATGATACTCCCAGTTTTATTCTTTCTCAAGATTGCTTTGGCTTTGCAGGCTTTCATGGTTCCATAAAAATTTTAGGATTACTTGCCCTAGTTCTGTGAGAAATGTCACTACTATTTTGATAGGGACTACGTAGATTTCATTGACTATGTAAATTGTTTTGGGTAGTATGGACATTTTAACAATATGAACGTCCAATCAACGAGTACAGAATATCTTTTCATTTCTTTGCGTTGTCTTCAATTTCTTTCATCAATGTTTTATAGTTTTCAGAGTACAGGTCTTTTACCTCCTTGGTTAAATTTATTCCTGCATGTTTAATGCTTTCTAAATTCTTTTTGATTTATTCAAAATCTTAAAGTTTCACATTTTACATCTAAATCTGTGTTTTACTGGAACATGCCCATGTCCTTTCTTTCAATAATGGCCTGTCCCTGCTTTTGCACTATAATGGCATTGCTGATTAGTTGTGACACACTATATGATGCACAAAGTCCAAAGTATTCACTCTCTGCCCTTTACAAAACATTGTTAAGTCTTATTCCTGGCTGATAAATGCTGAGACAACTATATGAAAAGCACCATGGTATAAAATATTTTTAAGGTGCAATGTCAACTGTTTGGAACAAGTTGGAATAGTAGGGCAGTGGCCCACTCACATAAATGCACCACAAATCTATCATGAGGGGGTAAATTGCTTTCTTTTTGAAGCTGAAATTCCTACTAATAACTCTAAGCATTGTTCCTGAGTCTGCTCAGATTTCAGTTTGTATTCCTGAAGCATCAGAGACAAAGATGTTTTTAATCAAGTGTTTGCTATTTGGTAATAGAAATCTAACAAAGTGGAGAAAGTGTGTGTGTGTGTGTGTGTGTGTGTGTGTAATATACATACCACATACACTCTTTGATGAAAGTCTTCGGCAAAATAAGCCATCTTCATTTTATGGACTTTATTCAGAGAGCTTAAATTATGTGACTCAGAAATGTATTAACAGCTCATTCCAAACTTACCCTCTTGAGTCAGAACTCAGCCATGAACGGTGCCAGATAGAGTTTAAAACTGCACATTGTCTTCCCATCCCAGGACTTGAGTTTGCTAAAATCAAGCGGTGGCATATGTGACTGTGCCAGTCATTAGATTATTGTATGTCAGCTCTAAAACCACCCTTCCAGGCTCTGTGATGCTATAATTCATTTCTGCTTTGCCAGCTAGCTTCCTGAAATTTCCTATATGATGTCTCCCCAGCTCCCACCCCCATCCCCCTGCAACATCCCTTCACTGGTTGTAGCAGATGCTGCTCTGGCTTCATCACATGTCTCAGACCCACCAGCACAAGCCACACAACGTCCCTGCTCAGAGGGCTGAGTGTCAACTTTCCAGGGCCTTGCCTCCAAATTTCTAGATAATCTCGACCTCTTCTCTCTTTTCCTGAAGACTTAGGGGTGATACTTATGTCATGAAGTTACCATCTCTGTGTGTTACCTCACTATTCCCTTGCTGCTTTTTTGTTTCCAATACTGGTCTGGTCAATCCCTTATGTTAAATTCCTAGTGAGGCATGTGTTTTCTAGACTGGACCCTGACTGACAGAGGGAATATTTCACAGCAACAACATTTGACACACAGGCATGTGAGGCAGAAAAGAAATGGATCTGACACTTTACTAATTTGTTTTGCCTCTTCAGCAAAATTATTTCTCTTCTTCACAATTCTCATTAAGATTTGCTGAATAGTTACCAAAATTTCTGTTCAGAATTAGTAAATATCTCAAATGGTGCTTGTCTAGGGAGAAAAAAAAATCAGTAAATCAATATTATTCTCTAATACTATGTTGAGCGATTGTTGGAGGACATTCAGAATAACCTTTCTTTTGTTAAATTTTTTAAAATTAAATCTTTTAATACAAAATGATATATGCATATAATTTTAATACAAATAAATAAATAACAAATATTTATTAAATATATTTTATCACATACATGTCCTGGTTTTCTAGTGCTGCCATAACAAAGCACCACAAACCAAATGGCTTAAATAATAGAAATGTATTTTCTTACAGTTCAGGAAGCTGGAAGCCCAAGGCCAAGATGTTGTCAGATTTGGTTTCTTCTAAGGCCTTCTCCTTGGACTGCAGATGACCATCTTCTGGGTCCTCACAAGGTTATGCCTTCATTTTGTTTGTGTCCTAATCATATCTTTTTATAAGGACACCAGTCCTATTGGATTGGACTGCACCCTAAAAACCATCTCTTGGGTTTGAATTCTTGTTTCCTAGATTCTGTGTCTTCCTTTTTTTGGTTTATTTCCTTGTTGTGATGCCAGTTTAACATTTCAAGGATTCACTTATTCAGCACACATTTACTGAGCTTGTGTCAGGCAGAGTGCTAGGTACTAGGGACATGGAAGTAAGAGAAACAATGTTACTGGCTGCAAGGGCTCTATGACAGCACAATGACCAATGTGACCTGAAATAGGAGCAGATGCCTGCTTGCCTAGGAACAGAATAACTGCCCTTTTACAAATGTCATTATGGAGAAAATAGAAAGGGACTAAAATTTATTGAGTTCTACCATGTCTCAACACAGTATTTATGTTACCTCATTTAATATTCAAGATTCTATTATTATAATACCTATTTTATGAGGGGAAGGCAACAGTGGAAGCTCTGAGGTTTAGATCTAGTTTAGTAACTTGTAGAGCCAAGTATTCACCTACAAAACTCTTTATAGCCATGTTATGCAATGCTGCAAAAAATGAATGCATACAAAACCAAGAATCAAGGTTTAACTCCTTCTTTTTAAAAAAAATTTTTTTAACGTTTATTTATTTTTGAGAGACAGAGAGACAGAATGTGAGCAGGGGAGGAGCAGAGAGAGACAGAGATACAGAATCCAAAGCAGGCTCTGGGTTCTGAGCTATCAGCACAGAGCCCGACGAGGCGCTCAAACTCATGAACCTCAAGATCATGAACCGCAAGATCATGACCTGAGCCGAAGTCGGTCACTTAACCGACTGAGCCACCCAGTCGCCCCATCTTCTTAACCAAATTAGCCATTTTACTTACCCATGCTAGTGATTTGTTTTATTCTGACTATCCTTTTAGGTAAGGTCCTGACTCCCTAGGAATCCTTCATTTATTCATTCAATATTTGTTGAGCTGCTGATATATGTGAGGTACTTTTCTAGGTGCTGGAGATAAACCAGTAAACCAAAATTGGAGCTTACACAAGTGGAGAGTGTCACAAATAATGTTTAAAAAAAAGTCAAGATAAATCCTCTTGGAGAGGGGAAAAAAGGAGGGTAAGCAGAACAGGAAGAGGGGAATAATAATTTTTTATTTATGGTCAGGGAAGTAGTTTCTGATATGGGGTCATTTGAGCAGAGGCAAAACAAATGGAAGAGGAAGCTGTGTAGATACTATGCAGAGGGAACAGCAAGTGTCAAGGCCCTTGGATGGGAACAGGGAGGCCAGTGTGGCTGGGGAAGAGATAGTCAGGTAAGAGCAGTAAGAGGCCAGCAGAGGCCTTAGAGGCCTTACTAAGGACTTTGGTTTTTACTCCTAGCAAGGTGGGAAAATATTGGAGAGTTTTGACATGAACCTCAAAAGGAATTTTGGAAGTCTTGTAGGCCCATGTCTGGCTTCCTTTTTATAGCAAAACTCACAGATGTTCCCTTTTTTTTTTTTTAAATAAATGTCATCACTTTATTTTTGAGAGAGAGAGAGAGAGAGGGAGGGAGGGAGCATGCAGGAGGGGCAGAAAGAGAGGGAGAGAGAATCCCAAGCAGGCTCTGTACTGTCATCACAGAGCCTGACATGGGACTCGAACTCACTAACCATGAGATCATGACCTGAGCCAAAACTGAGTGGGGCACTTAACAGACTGAGCCACCCAGGCTCCCCAAAACTGACAAATGTTACGTAAACCCTTTGTCTCCACTTTCTCACCTCATTCCTTTCAACCCTTGCCATATGGGTCCTGGACTCCATCACTTCTCTGAACCAGTTCTTTTGAAGGTCATCCATGACTATGTCTTGCCAAAGCCCATCTTCATGCTCAGTCTGCCATATTCTCAGCCCCACAGGAGCAACTGACATGGTGGCAGCACTTTCCCTGTGTTCAGTAACCCCAGACTCTAGCCTGGTTTCCTTCCTCCTTCACAGGTTTATTCCCCACATGTATCAAATCTCTGCATCCAGGAGTGGAACAGGGCTCTAATCTGGATCTCTTGCCCTGAGTGTTGGGTCCATGGTTTTCAATACCATTCATATGCTGATGTTTCCTTCATTTGTATTTCCAGCTCTAAATTTGTAATTCCAATTGTTTGTACACGTGTCCACTTGGATGTCTGACAGGCATTTTCTCCAAATGTTCATCATCACAGAAATGGCACCATCAGCCATTCAGCTGTTCAGAACGAAAGTTTAGGGAGCATCCTCGGTTATTCTCTTCACTCCACCTGGTCCCACCTCCAAAAGAAATCCTGAGTCTGACTTCTCACCAGTGCACTGCTACACATGAATTTAAGCCACCACCATCTCTGGTTGATGCTGCCTGGATTACTGCAAAAGCCACCTAATTTGTCTCCCTGCCTCCACTCTTACCTATCTCCTGCCCATTCTTCATCCAAACTATTAAAACATAAGTCAGATCAGGGGCATTCCCAAGCTCAAAGTCTTCCACTAGCTTCCCACTGCAACCAGAAAAAGCCCAAATTCCTTATCACAGCCTACACCACCACACCTGACATTGGCCTTGGGTTCCATTTCCCTTGCTCTGTGCCCTCTTTCCCCAGCAGCTCACGTTGAAACATTGAGCTGGCTCCTGCCTCTGGATCTCTGCACTGGCTTTTCCTTGAGCCCGGATTCCTTGTTCCCACGGTCTTCACCATGCTTCCTTCTTCTCTGCCTCCGACTTTCAGCTCAAATGCCACCTCTAAAGGGGCTTTCCTGATCCCCCGTGGAAAGTCTTCTCCTTCTTCCATCACTCTCTAGCCCTTGAGAAATTATTGCATGGATTCGCTAGGGAGTCTCCCGTGTCACCCAACACCTACACCAGAAAACCTCCTGAGAGCGGGTTATTTGTTTAGTTTAGCGCCAAAACACTGTCTCGGACAGAGTCGATGCTGAAGATAAAGGGACTGGCTGACAGAGCCCCCAAGGTTGTTCCCCGGGGGCTCTTAGGAGGCTCTGGCTTGCTGAAGGGAGAGATCTTGTTCACTCTCTTCGCTCACACCCATCCTCCGCGGGACGCGGGCAACCGCTCCTCCTCTAGCCCCTCCCCCTCTCGTGCCTCCTGTCCCTCTTGCTCCCTCCCCCAAGCCTGTCGCTGGTCCGGCCTGGGTGAGCGCTGCGTGTCACGCGGGCACAGGAGCCGGCCGAGACGGCCCGGCGGGCCAGAGAGGGAGCATGGCGTTCTCGGCGGCGCGCTTGGTGCTGGTGCTCCTGGCCGGGGACTTGGCAGGTAACGCTCACCCGCGGGCCCGGTGGGCCCCGCCGAGCGGCCGAGGGGCAGCGTGGAGTGGCTCTGGCCTGCGGCTCCCGGTTCCCGGTTCCGGGATCCTAGAGGCCCTGGCTGCCCTCCAGGCACCCGTTACTGGCAGTTCCCCGCGGCCTGTGGTCGGGTAGGAGCGCGAACTTGGGGTCGTGCAGGGCTGGGGGTGGCCATGGAGCCAGCGGACGTGCTTTAACTTCTTGCTTGGCTTTGAGTCCCAGTTCCTTCTTAGTGACACATTGCTGTCTGCTCTTTCTCCCCTAAGGCTGATTTTCTGGAGCCCAAGATCAGAAATTGGGTTTTTATGGACACGGTGACCCTACTGAACCTCTGTAAGAGATGAACAGGAATTAGGGATGGTGAATGCCAAGTGCATCAGGCACTCTGAGGCTTGTGAGAAAGGGACTTTAGTCCACCCAGCCTTGACGCCCACTTGAAAGTGGAGTTAAAGTGGTAACACCAAATGTTAAGTTGTGTGTTTGTTACCCTAGCCACGAGGAGAAGAATATTGTAAATTAGTAAGAGTTACTTCTCTGACTTAAAAAAAAATTTTTTTTAACCTTTTATTTTCAAGAGACACAGAGAGACAGAGCAGGAGCAGGGGAGGGGCAGAGAGAGAGGGAGACACAGAATCCCAAGCAGGCTCCAGGCTCTGAGCTCTGTCAGCACAGAGCCTGACACAGGGCTGGAACCCCCGGACCATCAGATCATGACCTGAGCCGAAGTTGGATGCTTAACCGACTGAGCCACCCAGGCACCCCATACTTCTCTGACTTTTATTCCATAGCTCCAAAGTCCTTTCTCAAGCAAGCCTGATAGGGTGGCCAGTTACAGAACGCATACCAAATGTTGCTTCTGTGTTCTTGCCAGGAGAATGCCAGAAAACAACTAAATACCCTCCTTGGGGGGTGTAGAGATGGGCAGTGGGGGCTGTTCAAAGAAATTAGGCATCTGAGAGAGGGTGCAGCCTGGATAAATCAGAAGCTGGATTTTAAAAGCCCTTTATGAATAAGAATTGGCCTTAATCACATAGGTTAAAATGCCTGTTTTCTTCTTGCAGCCTCTTTGGACTCCCTGAGCTCTGAGTTTGGCCAAACTTCAGAATTCAGAACAGTAAGTAGAAAACCACTTGTATTATTTCCACTAGTATAGTGAAACCCACACAGTTTGGGCTGGGGCTGTTTTTCAGGTCTGACCTGCCACTTTTGAAACTGTTGACTGCTTCTTTAGAAATCAGATTCTAAGGCAGGCATTTTGATACAGATCAAAATTACAAATTTTGGTTGAAAATAGCTCAGTCCTTGAAGACCTCAGCACATTGTTTCCTTTAATAGTTTCTTTAATGATTCAAGATGTCCTTGATCTAATGGTTATGTCCTGTACTAGAAGTTTTATGAACATTATCAAATTGAAGTCTGTGGAAGCAAGTGAAGCCCAACTAAATGAGAACAAGCAAAATGCAAAATTCAGAGTTTGATGTAGCAAGGGAGTCAGCCACACTTGTCACTTGTGTTTTGGTGGAAACTCAAAGACAGGCAGAGGAGGGGGGAAGCTCTGCAGCAGGAACAAGAGAAAGCTTTAGGTATGCCCTGATTTGAGACTGTAGGCCTGGGGAAGCTGTATGTGGGCTAATGAGAAGCAGGCTTCCTGTGTGATTGGTAAGGAGTGCATATTTGGCTTTCTCTGGTTGATCCTAAGTTGGATGTGGGGACAAACATCAGGGAAACTGGAAGATATTAAGCAAGTCTTGGCCATTTGGGGCCAGTTGTTCCTGAGGTTATTGTTTGGCTTCCTAGACCGTTATTAGAGATGGCTGTCTGACTTCTTACAAGTCTGAATTATAGCAGGCTGGGTTCCTGAGCTGGTCATTGTATATAATGAGATGGTTTTCTGGGTAAGTTGCTGCAGGTTCTATTTTAATAAATGGTCTGACATTATCCATTTGTATATTCAGTTTCACAATCCTCATAGTGACCTTGTATGATAGATATTATTTTACATATGGGGATATTGACCTCAGGGGCTTAAGAAACTTTGAGCATTCAACTTAGAGTAAACCTCTTCCAGGAAACTTTCTTATCCTATTTTCTAACTCCAAGAATATTTAAATGCACTTTCTCTTTGTTTCCATTCAACCTATATGCATCATTATCATCATCACAATGACAGTGTAGGGAAGGATTAAAAGCTTTCCTCTACCCTTCTAAGTTTTCAGCTGGGGCCTCTCGAACAAAAGACAGTTTAACAAGAAAAAAAAAAAAAACCGGAAAATTTATTAACATGTGCATGGCACATACACATGGGAACATTCAGAGATGAGTAACTCAAAGAGGTGGTTTAGAACTCTGACTTATATAGCATCTTTAACAAGAGCAATAAATTGTATAAAGAGAATATATAAATGGACAATGTCAGTCCATTTATTAAAATAGAACTCTGACCCACAATCTGCAGCACCCTACCCAGGAAACCAACTCATTATTTAGAATAACCAGCCCAGGAAGCCAGCCTACTACAAGTCAGACTTATAAGTAGACATGTAGAGACATGACAGGGAAAGTAAAAGGGTTTTAGGCTGCCAAGGGTGGCATACTATGAGAAGGTAAAGGTATGAGAGGAAACTAATGGAGTAAGGTTTGTTTGCAGGTTCCTCTGGTGCCACCTCTGGGCTGAGTCTAGAGTTGTCTTCAGTAAAGGAGAATTTATATCCTGCCTTTAGGTAGAAAAGGGGGTAAGGTGCTCAGGGCCTGGAGCCTGTTTCAGTCTGTGACTCCCTCTCTCTCTGACCCTCCCCTGCTCACGCTGTCTCTCCCTCTCTCTCTCCTAGAAATAAATAAAAGATTTTAAAAAAAAAAGAGAGAAAGAAAAGGGGGTAAGGTACAGAGCACTTTTCTTTGGTTTGCTACTTCTTAGCTTGACTTTAACTCAAAATACTTATGTCAGAGTCATATTTTGGGAGTGACATATTCTCTTTTCCTTCAACAGTTTTATTTCTTCCTTTCCTATTTGGATGCCTTTTATATTATTTTATTGCCTAATTGTCTTTGATATTTTGTACAATGCTGAATAGAATAAATGAAAATAGACATCCTTGTCTTTCCTAACGGGAAGAAAGGCATTCAGTCTTCCACCATTAAATATATATCTTTGTAGATGTTCTTTATCGGTTTGGAGGAAGCTCTCTTTTATGCCTAGTTTGTTGAGTGTTTTTATTATGAAAGAGAGTCTTGGATGCTCCTTTAAATTAACTTACCTTGCTCTCAGGTCAGATACTTCCCTCACCACTGTGCCTTTGGTTAGTCTGTTTTATTTCCTTGAGGTGAACATTCTTCCAAACCTCTTTAATCTAAATTCTGTCCATCTTTAAGACCACCACATATATTTCTTGATTTCCTAATGATGTACTAAACTTCTTACAGATAGGACTCAATTTGTGTCTTTGTAGTTCTCTAACATCTATCTTAAAATCTTCATTTATTGAATAAACAAATGAGGCAATATATTTGATAAAGTATTTAAGAACCTTTCAAAACAAAAGATTCAGAGTATAGACCTCAGAGATCACTTAAAAGCTTATCACATCCTTCTAAAAAAATTAAATTGATTCTAAGGAATAAATAAAAATGCCAGGTGACACTATTCCAGAATGAGAGTGTCTTGTAAAGCTCTGAGGAGCAGTCTGCCAGTGGTAAACCCTCTTCTCTAGTTGGCATGATGTGGGGTGTAATTTAGAGCCTCCATAGATGGTGAACCTGTTCTGAATTTCTTTTCCTTTTCCATAAATTTGAGTAATTGTATAAAACTAAGGGTTAATGGGAATAACTTATTAATGAAATTAATTGACCTCATTGATAAGAGTGAAACGTGTTTGTTCATAAAGCCTCATGTCTCTGCTCAGAGAAAATCCAGGAAATGAGTTACCTGAATTTAATAAAGTTAAATGGTGGCTAGCCAGAGCTGGCTTTGAAATCATGAGAATTAGACTGAAAACAGACTGGAATACCAACATTGCCTTCCAGCTGGGTAGATCCCTTGGGAATCTGAGAGACATCAAAGGTCTTCTGCTTAAACAAAACAAAACAAAACACCAAAACTTCCTTACCAGCCTATTAGTGCTCTTCAAAACTCATTTGTTAGTCATTCTTTGACATGAAAGCATTTGAAAACTGCTGTTGAATATTAAAAATCGCTAAGATCTTTAGGTTAAATAGATTAATTTTTATTAGTTAGTTATTTACCTAGGTAGTCAGAGAGTGGGCATAGGTAAGATATACTTTGCTTAAAAAAGAGGAGGTAAGAAAGGTCTAGAGAAGGGGACCCCTGAAATTGTGTGCCAAACTGTGTGTCTTGGTGCATTCACCTAGCTTCCATACATAGTAAGTGGACTGTATGTCAAGATGATTGGGAATAGCCATTTCTAACCCCAGTCCTAGCTGAATCAGAATTGAGGGGCCTCTAGAACCTTGGAGATTCTAATTGAGTAGGTCTGGAGTGAGGCCCCAAATCAGTGTTTTTTTGTTGTTGTTGTTTTGGTTTTTTTTTAGTGTTTATTTAAATTCCAGTTTGTTAACATACTAAGTTCGGGTTTACAATTGAGTGATTCAACACTTCCATACAACACCTGGTGCTCATCATAGCACTCCTTAATACCTATCACTTATTTTACCCATCCCCCCACCCACCTCCTCTCTAGTAACCATCAGTTTGTTCTCTATAGTTAAGTCTGTGTCTTGGTTTGCCTCAGTCTGTTTTCTCTTTCCCTTTGCATGTTTTGTTTCTTTTTTTTTTAATTTTATTTTTTATATTTTATTTATTTCTAGGAGAGAGAGAGACAGCGTGAGCAGGGGAGGGTCATAGAGAGAGGGAGATACAGACTCTGAAGTAGGCTCCAGGCTCTGAGCTGGCAGTCAGCACAGAGCCCGACGCGGGGCTCAAGCCCACGAACCGCGAGATCATGACCTAAGCGAAAGTCGGATGCTTAACCGACTAAGCCACCCAGGCGTCCCTGCATGTTTTGTTTCTTAAGTTCCACATATGAATAAAATTATATGGTGTTCGTCTTTCTCTGACTGGCTTATTTCGCTTAGCTTACTACTCTCTAGCTCCATACATGTCATTGTAAATGCACTAAATCAGTGTTGCTAACAAGCTTCTGAGGTTGTATGCACAGGCAACCCTGTGTAGGTCCACCAGGGCTAGTTATTAACACTAAACACTCACTCAATACCTTCCACTTCAGCGACTCACAAATGACCCTTTCCCCTCTCTCTGAATGATTTCCATAGTGTGTTGATCACTTACTGGCTGTAGGTACCTACTCTCTTTTGTATGCTGATAGACTGTATTTTTTAAAAGATTTTTTAAAGTAATTTTTTTAATGTTTATTTTTTATACCATTTTTAAAAATTTATTTCTGGGAGAGAGAGAGAGAGACAGCGTGAGCAGGGGAGGGTCAGAGAGAGAGGGAGTCACAGACTGAAATAGGCTCCAGTCTCTGAGCTGGCAGTCAGCACAGAGCCCGAAGCAGGGCTCGGACCCACGAACCGCAAGATCATGACCTAAGCGAAAGTTGGACGCTTAACCGACTAAGCCACCCAGGCGCCCCTTTTAATGTTTATTTTTGAGGGGGCAGAGAGAGGGAGTCACAGAACTGTAAGCAGGCTCCAGACTCCATGTGGGATCTTGAACTCACGAACCGTGAGATCATGACCTGAGCCAAAGTTGGACACTAACCGACAGAGCCCCCCAGGCATCCCCTATTTTTAAGTAATTTCTACACCCAGTGTGGGCCTTGAACCTACAATCCCAAGATCAAGATAAAACTCTTAATTAACACTTGACCCTTGAACAATGCAGGGGGCTAGGGATGCTAACCCCTTCCTATTGTAAAAAATCTGAGCATAATTTTTGACCCTCATATTTAACTAATAGTCTACTGTTGACCAGAAGCTTAACTGATAACATAGAGTTGATTAATACACACTTTGTATGTTATATGTTACATCCTTATCTTAACTTCTTATCTTCATGTAAGTTAGAGAAAAGAAAATGTTATTAAGAAATCATAAGGAAGAGAAAATACGTTTAAACCCATGTTGTTCAAAGATCAGCTGTGGTTGAAATATTCAAAGGAAAGTTCTCATGTCTTGTATCAGTTGGGATTAGATTCAGATGCAGGTAACAAAGGCTCAAAATAGGAGCACACATTGCTGCCATCCTAGAATGTGGCCTTTATCCTCCTGGTCTGTACAATAAAGATCAGAGCTCCATGCACCCTGCAGCAGGATGGAGAGATGGACAAAGAAAATAAATTGGGGGGGAGGGGGCGGGGAGGACAAAGGATAAGCACTGCTTTCTTTTAAAGGAGGTTCCCAGACGCTACTATGCAATAATTCCGTTTATATCCCATTGGTCTTAACTTAATCATATAGTCATACCTAGTGACAAAGAAAGTTATCTTATAATAGCGTTACATGCCCAGTCATCATCTTACGTCAAAAGATTGGCAATTTTGTTTTTCATCTATATGTTTTATGATAAAATGCTTAGGATATATACCTTTTTCTTTCCTTTCCTTAATTGACTTTATCAATTAAATGACCAACTAACATTTATCTCAATCTCAGTGGATAAGAGGGCATATACTCTGCTTGTGAGAGCAGCCTATAAGGCATCATTTTAGTGAGTCTTGGGCAGCATATCATGCTTCTCAATGAGGGCTGAACAGAGGATGGAAAGGGTCAACAAAACCTCTTTTACTTCAGAGTTTGGCCCATGGCCAGCCTTGTTTAAGTCTTTATAAATCCAGATAATATCAGTAAAAATGTGTGTTGCATTTATTCAGAGTGCTAAACAGGTAACATCTTTCACTCTGAAGTGAGGAAAAGTGATCACCATTTACTAAAACAAATGTGTGTGTGTGTGTGTGTGTATACATATGTATATAAAAGTAAATATATATATAAAGTGTATATGTATATAAAGTGTATATATATATATATATATATATATATGCATGTATATAAGGAAGATTCCTATCAAACCTATCATACAACATAAATGTGTAGGGATAGGCCTCTTTTTTAAAATTTATGTATTTATTTTGGTAGAGAGGGAGTGGGGGAGGGGCAGAGAGAGAGGAGGAGAGAGAGAATACCAAGCAGGCTCTGCACTGTCAGTGCAGAGCCCAATGTGGGGCTTGAAGTCATGAATCGCGAGATCATAGCCTGAGCCAAAATAAGCCTCCCTCACTTAACCGACTTGAGCCACCCAGTTGCCACTAAATGTATACATATACAACACAAATACAGTGGGCCTTTTGTTAAAGTGAGACTCTGCACATCATAGTCTGATCACTGACCAGGTCTAGTAGTGGTTCTGCTGGAGACTGACACCTGTGAGCAAGATGTATTACCTGCCTGGCCTCAATTCCATCAAATCACAGGATTGAGTTCCATGACCCTGTATCAGCTTCTGAGGGCTGCTATAATAATGTACCACAAACTGATAGGGTTAAACAACAGAAATTGATTGTCTTTCAGTTCTGGACGCTAGAAATCCTAAATTAGGATACTGTAGAATTGGTTCCTCCTGAGGGCTGTGAGGATGAATCTGTTCCATGCCTTTCTCCTAGGGTCTGGTAGCCCTAGGTGTTCCTTGGAAATTCTTTGCCTTTATGTGATGTTCCCTCTGTGACTCTGTCCAAATTTTCCATTTTTATAATATAAGGACACCAGTTTTATTGGGTGTCCTTATAAAAAGGGGCCCATTCTACTGACTTCATTTTGACTTGATTCCCTATACAAAGACTCTTTTCCCAATAATGTGACTTTTTGTGTGGGTACAGTTCAATCCATTACAGCCCCTAAGCACCAGTGCTGTTTTCTTTGTTGCTGTTGGTTGAATGCCAGTAACTTAAAGATCCAGACTAAAAGATTAGATTCCTGAGTTTGTCTTGACATCATGCCAAAGGATTAAGGTGGAATGTAACAACGTTCATGTGGAGACAGTAGTGAAGTATCAATTATAAAGCTAGAGGGTTGGAAAGTGGGTATGGTGGCCTGTCTTGGACTTTCATTTAATTTTTTAAAATTAATTTATTTTTGAGAGGGATAGCATGAGTGGTGGAGCAGCAGAGAGAGAGAGAGTGGGAGACACAAAATCTGAAGCAGGCTCCAGGCTCTGAGCTGTTAGCACAGATCCCAACGTGGGGCTTTAACCCATGGATCATGAGATCATGACCTGAGCCGAAGTCGGATGCTTAACTGACTGAGCCACCCAGATGCCCCTAGACTTTCATTTCAAAATCAGCCTGGCTTAGGGGCGCCTGGGTGGCTTAGTCGGTTAAGCGTCCGACTTTCGCTTAGGTCATGATCTCACGTTCGTGGGTTCGAGCCCCGCATCGGGCTCTGTGCTGACTGCCAGCTCGGAGCCTGGAGCCTGTTTCAGTCTGTGACTCCCTCTCTCTCTGACCCTCCCCTGCTCACGCTGTCTCTCTCTCTCTCCTAGAAAAAAAAAAAATTAAAAAAAAACAAAAAACAAAATCAGCCTGGCTGAGATCCTTTTCTTATATAGTAGGTATTGAACCATTGCTTCAATGTCGCATCTGATTTTTGCATTAGAAAAATCTTTTGTGTGTGTGGAAAATAGAAATATTTTTTAGGGTATTTCTAGGAAATCTGGGAGCTTTAGGACTTTGTCCCCCAACTGTTTTGTGATGAGAATGTCTCAGTTCTGTAATTTCTGTCTTCCTTTTTCTTTTCTAGCCAAACTGCAATCAGTATAAATTACCAGGATGTCCCAGAGACTTTAGCCCCGTGTGTGGAAGCGACATGTCCACTTATCCTAATGAGTGTACTCTGTGCATGAAAATCAGGTAACATAATTGTACAGTATAGACTAGTCCTTTTCTTGATTTTTGATTACTTAGGAAGTAGTGACTCTTTTCTTGGATGTAAGAATCAAATGTGACATAGTAATTCTGTTTTCAGACTGACACTTAAAAGGACAATCCTTCCTTGCATTTTCCAGGTCAAAGTTAGAGAGTGTCATTTTGATTAACCAATTCTACATCTGGTAATCAGGTTATGTTACTATCCATGGATGGGTAGTTTCCCCAAATTAAGAGTGTATTAATGGTTAAACTCTATGAAATGTTAAATATTCTTTAAAATTCAAGGGGCATGTGCAGGTAACCTGTACAACCTGCAATACTAGTTGGGTTGAATTATTACTGGGTAATAATTCTCCCTAGTCGAATGCTAAGTAGTGTATTACACCTGATGCCCTTCATGTAACCCATAGGTGACTGTGACTTCTCCTGTAGGTATGAAGCAGGGAGAATCACAGGATTAAGACACATTTCAAAGAACCAGGTAGTGCCAATATTAAATTCATGAATTACTCGTTTTATCACATACTTTATCACACAAGGTAGTCACAGAAGAAAATTAGTGGAGGGAATTAATGAACCACTCTGAAGAGGATCCAGGAAGGAGATGTCACAACGTGAGCAGTGACGCACCTGTCCAGTCGTTGGTCCCAAGATAAACTTTGGCCTGGATTTCAGTCAGGTCACCTTCTGTGCTGACAGAGCCTCCAGCACCATCTGTCTTGACACAGAATCTTTACACCTATAGCTTGGGTGGCCAATCAGCCTTCAAATGTCTGCTAGACAGCTCCTTCATTTAAGGGTCCATTAAGTTGGGTGTAACGGTTATACTCAAGAGTCTTTGCCACAAGCACTCAGTCCACTTGGTCTCACTGGTCTTCCTGTGGATGTTTTCAAACAATTTTACTTATCTGTTGGTCACACAGCTAATGCGTATAAGGCACACTCTAAGTCCTAAACTCTGACAAACAACTAATACGGGTGTTCACATTGGCCACTGAGACTCCATCTTGTCTTACTCTAACTTAGCTTATTGTCTACTGTGAGTAGGAATCGCGTACAAAGTATCACACCATGACAAGGTATGCTGCTTTGTATTTCAGGGCTCTTTCTCTGATGTCAGTCTTCAGTGAGTTATCTAGGTCTTCTCACAGTGTTTTTTTTTTTTTTGAGGTTAGTGCCCTGTGCCTTAAGGTTAGGGAAAAATGGCAGAATTGGGGCCCTATTGTTTACCAGATTTAGCTTTAGAAGATTAAGTAAGCATCACCTTAGAATCTAATTTATAATGACATGGGTCTCTTTGGTCCAAAGAGTGTGACAGTTTCAGTATGGTAGTGTTATGCCAAGAGATGCAGAGACCAACCGAGACCACTGAAGCCGAATTAAGGGGAGTCTTTATTACCGGCCAGGACCGCACAGAATTAACACAGAACTCTACATTTGCGGTCCCGAGTCCAAGGACTTAGGGCTTTTTATAACAAGCAAGCAGGCAAGTGGGCAGTACAGAAACAGAATTGAGCAGTTATTGTAAAAAGACTACAAAGTGATAAAGAGAGCGGCCCTTATCCTGGGATGTAGGAAAACATTTGTTGTTTTGAAGGCAAGGTTTAGGGTTGTAGGGGAGTTTCAAGGGAATAGCCATTATCTCAAGGACAAAGTATGCAAACTGTGTCATAAATAACCATTAATAGGTAACATTAACCCTTGTCTTTTTACCCTTTTCCTTGCACCTGAGGATAGTCATGTAGCCCTCTGAGTGTAGGCCCAGAAGGCAAACTCTGGGTCAAGATGGAAGGACTGAGGCTAAATTCATGTGCAACAGTAGGTAGGTAGTAAATGTGTCTTTACGGTTATTCAATTTGCAGGGAAAGTGGTCATGACATTAAAGTAATCCGGAGTGGACCGTGTTGATGGAGCAGTTTATAGAAGAGAACTTGGAGAAACCACCTTCAACAGTATGCTAGATGAATTCCATTTTCCCTTTTTCTCTTTCCTATGTTCCTTTGCATGGGATTTGTTAGCCCACATTTTCTGAGAGGAGGTGTGGAAGAGAGCTATGTGCAGAGATTGATAATTAAAACAAACACACACAAAAAAAATCCTTGTTTCTTTGCTTTTGCCCCTTGAGTTAAGTTTATTGCCCAGGTGACTTGTGTCTTGCTTTCTTTATCTGGAATAAAATCAGCATTGTATTCAAGTACTATTGTTCTCTGTTGAATACCCATTCTTAGCAGGCAACTGGTGACTCTTCCTTTAAGGCAAAGGTGAATTTTGTAAGGGAGAAGTGAAGTCATTGTTGAGAGGGCCAGATTTATGCTATTTTCTCTTCCCCCAAACCTACATAGTTAATGTATGTGTAACTGACACATTGTTCTACACAAGCAAATAACAGTGAGACACTTGGAGCTGATTTTAGCCGGAGCTGATAAAGTGGAGTCATGCAGGTAGAACCATTTACTAGATTCAATGTCTCCTTTCAATAGCTGCCCATCAGGGTTAATGTAGAAAGAAGGCTTTTCCCTCCTTTTAGAGCAGTGGGTCTCAACTCCCGGGGTAATTTTTCCTTCAGGGGACATTTGGCAATATGCCTGGTGTTAGAATAGAAGGGTGGGCACTACTGACCTCTAGTGAGTAGACACCAGGGGTGTTGTCAACCTCGTTCAGTGCCCTTGGGCGGGGGGGGGGGGGGGGGGGGGGGGGGGGGGGGGGGGGGGGGGGCGGGTAGGGTGGGAAGCAGCTCCCAACAAGGAAGAATTTTTCAGTCCCGAATATCAGTAATGCTGAGGTTGAAACATCCTGTTTTAGAGGTTGATACAATATAAAGAATAGACATTAGCAATAACAAAAGTGATGGGCGGTTACTTTCAAATGATGTTTCCAAGTAGAGGATTTTGAGTCAAGTCCTGGGTGTAAGTGCTTTCTAGCACCAGGAAACCATGAGCCATGAAGCAAGAGGTAGCTGAGAGTATGTGGTGGAAAGAATATGGCTTTTGGGGTCAGCTAAACCTGAACTTGGATTCTGATTCCAGCACTTATACTTCAGGTTTCTTTCTTTTTTTTTTTTCCTTTTTTCTTTTTCAGCATGTTTTTTATTTTGATGAAGTCTTTGGTGAAGCATACACCAATTGGGATGTATACATGAAGACTACTCACCCACTCATTCAGCATATTTTCAATGGGTATGATAGTAATTATTTGTTTCTCTTCATATTTTCTATTCTCCATAATCTTATTTCTTTATAAACATCACTTACATTTTTCAGTTTTTTTTAATTGTTTATTGTCAAGTTTGTTTCCATATAACACTCAGTGCTCATCCCAACAAGTGCCCTCCTCCATGCCCATCACCTCCCTCCCCCTCCTCCCCACCCACATCAGCCCTCAGTTTGTTCTCAGCATTCAAGAGTCTCTCATGGTTTGCCTCCCTCCCTCTCCCCAACTATTTTTCCCCTTCTTCTCCCTCATGGTCCTGTGTTAAGTTCCTCCTAATCCTCCTATATGTACAAACATATGGTATCTGTCCTTCTCTGCCTGACTTATTTCACTCAGCATAACACCCTCAAGGTCCATCCATGTTGCTACACATGGCCAGATTTCATT